CAAGGTTGACCTTCGAGGAGTTATGTTTTGATGGAGCACATTAAATTTTATTTAGTCATTGTCAGTAAATCTTGTAAAATGTAAAATCAAGATCTACATAAGTTACTCCATTGCTTACTCTGTTGTAATATATTGCATTCTTTGTGAATTCAGGCTTTTCCCATAATTTTTGTGTATGAAATGAAAGGTGTAAAAACTTGTAGCCCTTAAGTTTGATGCAGTTCTCATTTTCATTGTTTATTTTATATAATCATAGTATGCTGTGTGATGCCAGCTTAAGGTGGTGTCACTTAATGTGGTATCCATATGAAACATTCTGGAGAATTTGACAAAGATAGGATATGGGCATTAATATAAGTATAGCTGAAGCATGGCTTAGGTGTTCAACAATGAATATTTGTCCCTGTGGACATTTAGCAGCAAAGTCGATTGTATGTAATTTTCACAGCAATACACAGCTCTTGAAATATTTAGTTACAAGTAATGTTAGTGGAAGACATTGCTGAGTATATAAAGGTGTTTATGCCTGGCATAGTGTTGTCAGGTTACCCGGGGGGGCTGGCTGGCCAGTCAAGCTAGTAGCTGTAAATAATCTGTAATAAAGGTTTCAGTAAAGGCCATTTTTCATTTACTCAACAAAAGTCTAAAGTTAATTTGTGAAGTGCCATCCTCTTTGGGGGGGGGGGGGTCTCCTTGTTGTGGTTAAGAGGCTTTTGGTCTGAGGAATTGGACCACCTGGTCCTCTGACCAAACCTAAATACTCCCTTCCCTGCCCCATCCCCCCTCCCCTCCCTTCTTTCCTGCCTTTGGCGTCCTCCCCTCCAAAATTCTGTTGAGGTTCTTGGTGGTGCAGGTTGCCATGGAACCTGGATCATCTGGGGATGCTCCAATCCACCCTCCAGAGTCCTTGAGGGCGGCTTATGGTGTCCTTTGAGTGATGGGTGTATCTCTGGAGGCTTCGTGTCGGTTCTGGCTGAAGGAGGTATGCCTTGTGGCAGGCTTCCAACCACCCTCTTTTTTTGTCCACAGGGGTGACTCGGTAGTTGTGAGGTTGCCATCCTGGATTGTCAGTTTACCAGCATGAAGAGTAGGGTACAGCATGGGTTCCATGCCACATCTGCAGTACTGACTGCATAGAAGGCCCTCTTTGACGGAGAGTGGGATATATGATCCCTTCCATGTACCCCCCTCTCCCCCCTTTTTTTTATTAAAAGACTAAGAAAAAAACCATGGAGTCGCATGTCTACGAAATTCTTCCTCTTGGACCCCTTTCTCCTGTGGCACCCTCTCGCAACCCTGCCTCATCCTTAGACCATTTTTCGGACACCTCTAACATCCCGGTACCTTGATAAGGAATGTATGCAACAGTTAGGTATCTTAATCCGAAATGTTTGGCCTACACAGTAGGCTTCTTCAGTCAAGTAGAGTTAGCAGAAGCAGTAGAGATGTGAAGATGATGTCATCAGTCCATCACCATTGAGGGTATAGTTTTGAGGTGGTCAGTCCCTCAGCTTGGAGAGGTTTTTTTGCTCCATAATCTAGAACAATGTGAGCTTGAACAGTGTACACTGCTTCAATTTCACTTTTTGGACTATGTAAACCCGACACTGACAATGTAGTGAGGTCATTTACTAGACTTGGCTGGCATTTTCACACCTGATCTCCGCAATCCTTCCATTTATAGAATGGTCACTGTTATTAGTAGACATTATTTGTTCGCCGCCCGTTTGCTCCGTCCCTTCTCTCTTTGCCTACATTCGCTCGTCTTCCCTTCAGTTACCGCCTTTATATGTTCATGTCATCTCACTTTTCCCTACCCCCCTGGGAAGTTCCAGCTGTTCGGGTCTGTTCTTTCTCACTCCCTTGCTCGAAAGCCCAACTGCCTACAGTGGCTTCCCGCTCTTTTTCTTGACCACTTCCACTCTTTCTCATGCCATCACCGTGTACACAGATGGCTCTAAATCTTCTGATGGCGTCGGATTCGCAGCAGTGTTTCCGGACAGCATCGTGTGAGGGCATTTACTATCTTCGGCTAGCATTTTTACAGCTGAATTGTATGCCATTCTTGCAGCACTTATTCGTATCGCATCTATACCTGTGTCATCATTTGTGGTTGTCTCAGACTTCCTTAGTGCTCTACAGGCTATACGGAAATTTGATACACCTCAACCCTTAGTCCTCTGTATCCAACTTTGGCTACGCCGCATCTTTACCAAGCATAAAGATATTGTTTTTTGTTGGGTCCCTGGTCATGTTGACGTACAGGGCAATGAACAGGCAGACACTGCTGCGCGGTCAGCAGTACATGACCTACCAGTTTCTTAGAGGTATTCCATTTACGGACTATTTTGCTGCAATATCTTCCCACCTTCACACCCGTTGGCAACAACGTTGGTCTACTATGCTCGGCAACAAACTTCAGTCTATTAAACCGAGTATAGGTTACTGGCCGTCTTATCACCAGTGTCGAGGTTGGGAGACTACTCTATCCCGTCTTCGCATTGGCCATACTCGTCTTACTCATGGAGAGGCGTCTTGCTCCTCTGTGAGAATTGCCAAGCTCCATTATCAGTCAGCCACATTCTGTTGGACTGCCCACTTTATCAACGAGCACGCAGAATTTACCTCTGTCGTCGTCTTCGCTCCGCTGCTCTCTCTTTACCTTCCCTTCTCGCTGATGGACCCACCTTTCATCCGGACTCTCTCATTGACTTTTTGACAACAACTGACTGACTTCACAAATTCTGATACCTTCAGCCCTTTCTACTTCAATCTCTTACTACCCTCTACTATCCCCTGCCCCGCTGTTTTCTTTAACCTGCTGATCATCCCTCCTCCCTTCTGCCATCCAATACCCTCGCTTCCTTCCCTACCCTGCAGCGCTGTATAGCCCTTGTGGCTTAGCGCTTCTTTTTGATTATAATAATAATCTACCAAGCGTAAAGATATTGTTTTTTTGTTGGGTCCCTGGTCATGTTGACGTACAGGGCAATGAACAGGCAGACACTGCTGCGCGGTCAGCAGTACATTACCAATTTCATAAAGAGGTGTTCCATTTCCGGACTATTTTGCTGTAATAGCTACCCACCTTCACACCCGTTGGCAACAACGTTGGTCTGCTCTGCTCAATAACAAACTTTGTTCTATTAAACCGAGTATAGGTTACTGGCAGTTTTCTTGTCACCAGTGTCGGGGTTGGGAGACTACTCCCGCCTTCATATTGGCCATACTCGTCTTGCTCATGGATATCTCATGGAGAGGCACCCTGCTCCTCTCTCTGAGAATTGTCAGGTTCCATTATCGGTCAGCCACATTCTGTTAGACTGCCCACTTTATCAACGAGCACGCAGAATTTATCTCTGTCGTCTTCGCTCCGCTGCTCTCTTTACCTTTCCTTCTCGCTGATGGACCCACCTTTCATCCGGACTCTCTCATTGACTTTTTGACAACAACTGACTTACTCCACAAACTGATACCTTCAGCCCTTTCTACCTTAATCTCTTGCTACCCTCTACCCCCGCACTATCCCCTGCCCCGCTGTTTTCTGTAACCTACTATTCATCCCGCCACCCGATACCCTCGCTTCCTTCCCTACCCTGCAGCGCTGTATAGCCCTTGTGGCTTAGCGCTTCTTTTTTATTATAATTTCACAGCTGAATTGTATGCAGTTCTAATTGCAATTATCTGTATTGCATCTATGCCTACCTCAACATTTGTAGTAGTCTCAGACTCCTTTAGTGCTTTGCAAGCTATTAAAAAATTTGATTCGCCTACAACCCAATATTCATTACATAATTTTCCTGATGGGAAACATACGTCAAACATGTGATATACAAGGCACAACTATACTGTATATGTAAATCAATCGGAATCATCTGAATGTTCAGGGTAATGAGCAAGCAGATTGCTGTGTGGTCAGTGGCACATTACTTTCCAGTTTCACAGATATACCAAAATGACTATTTTGCTGTAATCTCTAACCGCCTTTGCAACCCCATTAGACCGATATGACTCAACAAATTATATTCCATCATGCCAAGTTTAGGTTTCTGGCCTTATCGATGCTTAGGTTGGGAGACAACGCTCTCCCGTCTTCACATCGGGCACACCCATCTTATGGGTATCGCCCCTGTTCCACTCTGAAAATTGTCTGATTCGAATTTCCGTTTGCCATATTCTATAGACCTGTCCTGTCTTTCACTGAGCACATTGGATTTACCTCCGTCACCATCCTTGCCAACGGCCCCACCTCTGACTCAGATTCCCTTTGACAGCAACCGATTTATCACACAAACTTTAACACTTCCTTCGGCACTCCTCATAGCCCTTTCTAACTCTACCTCTATTATCCTCTCCATCCCTAGTTATTTTCTGCTCCAACTCCCCCCCTCCTTGCAGTGCTGTATGACCCTTGTGGGTTTAGCACTTTTTCATTAGAATAATGTAATGCGTGTACAGTACTTCATACATATTTGTGCATCAGTTTAGTTGGTATACTCGTATATTGTGATTAACAAGGATATGTTAGAGGACAAGTTTTATTGGGGGGTGGTGTTGAGGGCTCCCAATGCTGAAGCCTTCGCCCACCCTCTTCTACATAGTCTTTATTTGTAGATGAATGGTTCAGAGAACCGACATGTTGATAAATTAGACACATGTGCAACTCTTGGGTATCTTTATTGAGGAAACGTTTCGCCACACAGTGGCTTCATCAGTCCATACAAAGGAGAATCTTGAACAGGAGGAGAATGAGGTAATCAGTCCCTCAACCTTGAGTCGATGTGGTCAGTCCATCAATCTATTCAAGATTGATGGACTGACCACATTGACTCAAGGTTGAGGGACTGATTACCTCATTCTCCTCCTGTTCTTCAAGATTCTCCTTTGTATGGACTGATGAAGCCACTGTGGCGAAACGTTTCCTCAATAAAGATACCCAAGAGTTGCACGTGTGTAATTTATCACCATAGTCTTTATTGTTGAAAATACAAGAGAAATGATTTTATTTTATTCCTTTATTGTAATAAATTTATTAGTATATACTAAAATACACCTACCATCTGACTTACGACCGTGTTTTTTATGCCAAATTTCTGGGAAATAAACAACTATTTGTGTTGTACACAGTGTTTATCCTAAACCTTACAGTATAAAATACAGTACTAACATCATAAAAAGTAAAGTAAAACATGAAATGCCAAAATAAAACAATAAAATAAAGCCATTACAAAAATGTTTTGTTGATATTCAGTAGTAAAGTTCGACTTACGACCATTTCGACTGAACTCGGTCGTAAGTCGGATGGTAGGGTTTATATTTGCAAAAGCATTCTGGTAGTTAATTTAACAGCAGTGAGATGGACACAATGAGCCTTGGACTGTCATAGACCTTAACCCAACAATAACAATATTAGCCAAGACTTGAGAAGCTTCATTTTTTTTTTTTTTTGTCTTGGATACCTCACATATTTTACCAGCCAAGACTCTTGTCTTGGCTGGTAAAATATGGTAAATTTTTTTTTTTTTATTGATGTTTGCAGATTATCGATAGTGACAATAGCTGTGGGACTGCCTGTCATATGTTTGTACAGATACATGTACTGTATAGGGTCATATCAACCATCCCCACATTTCCACATCGACAAGTAATAACTACTGTGAACAGAAAACCAGGTTTTATTTTTGAATTACAAAGCTCTGAAAAAAGAATTGGTTGGCTTTTTTGGAGAGGGGTAATGAATATAACCTTTTTCCCACACGTTCTTCTAGGGTCTAGATTATTATAATAAAAATTAAGCACTAAACCCACCAGGGTCAAAGTACTGTCTGGGGTCTAGAACAGCTGATGCTGCCTTACCATTAGATATATGTACGTACAGTATTTTCTGGCATATAAGGTATGCCCTTGACTCACAAAATCATAATGACACAATTGCAAACTCTTTGAAAATCACCCTGCACCTTGTATGCTCAATGTCAGGGTCAAGGGTAGGCACTGGATTACACTAACATAAGGTAAGTGTGTAATTAACCCTTGAATATTACTGATTGATCATTATAATACTTCTGTCGTGCACCTTATATGCTGGAAAATATATGTATTGTATAGCATAATGATTTTAGGAACAAACATTTGTCAAGAAATATGGAATTTGCAAAGTCTTGGAAAGTATTCCTATGATTTGCATGTTTCTATATATTTGATATAAAAATAATTCTTAATCTTAAAGCTCCCCTTCATTGAAAGGTGATGTCCTGATGCAGATTCTAAGGATTCCACAAGCAGTACTATGGTTTAATTATAAGTAAAGCAAATATGTTCAGAGAACTAATAGAACCTCAGGTATATAAAAATGTGAAAATATAAACCCTCTCAAACTCACAGCACATACTAAACTACAAACAATATGTAAACATTTACAAAAAAAAAAAAATGTTAATGCAAAAGCTCTCTAACTGTAGTAAATGATGGCACTGCAGTATAAGTGTGTACATAAAAAAAGTGGAATAAGATGCAACTTTTATTTCCTTAACTATACCTATGTAATCTTATTAGGTATTTATCACAATTTATCAAATACCTATCACCTTTACTTAATAACACTTTACTTAATAACACTACCCAATATTCATTACATAATTTTCCTGATAGGAAACATATGTCAAACGTGATATATAAGGCACAACTATACTGTATGTATATGTAAATCAATCAGAATCTTCAGAATCATTAGCGCCATATTCTTTGTCATCAAAGCCAGATTTTCTATCCCCTGTATGGATCTCTTCTTCTAAGAGTGAGATGATGGTTGGTCTCCGTGCAAGGTTCCTTGGTGTGCACTGCTCCCTGTTGCAAACATCAGTATTTACAGGCATATCAATGGTCTTAAATGTTGACATGTTAATAAGACACAATATGTGGTTTATGGCATTTTATTGAGAATATAGTTTCTGGTGGATGAAACGTGTCAATAAAATGCCATACTGCATGTTGCTGTATTATTACAGCATATTTGCACACTAATTTATTAAACACTAGAAAGAATATTTTTTTTTAATCACGCACATTGATTAATACAGTGGTACCCCGAGTTTTGTACAGCTCCCAACTCGAACAATTATGTAAGTGTATTATTGTAAGTGCTTTTGTACGTGTATTTTTGGGAGTGAAACAGACTAATCAATTTACATTATTCCTCATAGGAACAAATTCCTTTGGTAACGGCACTCAAATAGCCTTCTGGAACGAATTATGGCCGAAACTCAGGGTACCACTGTATTCAGTGTCAGTACTGATACTGCACTGAGTCAATATTTTATAAAATTAAATGAAAAACAAAAAAAATGCCAGAGACTTACCAAAATTAATAACACAAATGCCAAATGAGCATCTTAATAATTAACCCTTTGAGGGTCCGTGCCATAGACCTATGGCTATACGCTGAGGGTCCAAACCGTAGATCTATGCCAAAATTATAGCGGTGTCAAATTTAGCGCAAGAAGGCTGGTAGGCCTACATGTGAGAGAATGGGTGTGTGGTGTGCGCGCGCTATGAAGAAAAATTCTAGGCGCCCGCAGAGCATTGTGGGAACGCCGGCTCAGTTACCTTTGGTCACTATGCCTCGTGGCAAGGCAGCTCTCGCTCCAAGGCGAATTGGAACTCTCCTCTTCCTATCTGATAGTTCTGAATCTGATGGAAGTGGAAATGAAGATGGATTCTATGGCTCTGATCAATTAATGACTGAATGGAATGACCTGGATATCGAAAATCCTGACGATCCTCAACCTTATACCTCTGGTGTGGGCACGTCTCAGTCACATTCAGTTGTACCTCGTCATAAGAGAAAACTAATACGTATTTTCACGTGGCCAGGCCTCTGACTTCAGTAATGATGATGATAGTGATGATTGTGATTTTATTGCTCTTGACGATCATTCGAGTAGTGATAGTGAGGAATCTCATTCACCAGTGAAGTGTTGGTATATACGCTGCCACATGCACTCGGGTAGTGTTCCCTATGCAGTGCCCAGGGGACGGAGTACATCCTGTGGCCCTACACCAGGAATAGACAGTGAAAGTGAGGATGATGTGACTACACTTGGCATGGATAGACCACAGGCATCAGTAGGTGGTGGTATTGGTGATGGTAGTGCCATGGCCATGCATGACTCGCCAGCCCAGGCTGGGACCCATGCCGCTGACTCCTCAGCTCAAGGACTAAGTGGAGCGTCAGCCACCAGCCCACCACAACCAGCTTATGATGTCCAGTATCCACCAGCAAACTGTACCTGGGATTGGCAGCAAAATCCCAATTTTGTTCCCAAGCCTCACCAGTTTGATGACTCTCGGTGGAATTTTACCTACTTGTCCCCTTGGAAACATTGCAAATGAACTGGAATTCTTTGAACTATTCTCTGACCAGCCCTTGATGGAAACTATTGTCAGGGAAAGTAACAAGTATTTTGAGTACACCATGGCAAATACGATCATATCACCATAGTCAAGACTACACTGGTGGACTACACTGTTGCAGAAATGTATTTGCTTTTTGCAACAATAATGCTTATGCCTGTCTATAAGCATAATATAAAATCGCACTGGTCCACAGATCAGCTACTTTGTACCCCGGCCTTAAGTGAAATCATCCCAGTGAACAGGTTTATCTTACTGTTACGTTGTTGCACTTCTCTGACAAAACCAGGTCTGACAGAAGTGACAGGTTAAACAAGATTAGAAATGTTTTTATGTATCTAAAACAAAAGTTCAACATGTACTTTTATCCATTCAAGAATCTTTTAATTGACAGGTCTTTGATTTTGTTCAAAGGTAGACTGTCATTCAAGCAGTATATACTGAGCAAGAGGAAATGCTTTGGTATAAAACTGTTTGTACTCTGTGACTGTGACCTGGTATTGGATATTACTGTATACACGGGAAGTAAAACACAAAGATACCAGGATGTTACTGGGTATCTCATGTGACGTAGTGAGAAGCATGATGGCACCTTATCTTGGTAAGAGTTATACATTATGTACTGATAAATGGTACACAAGCCCTTTACTCAGTGATTTTTTGCAAGTGAACATGACATGTGACACAGTGCGCTCTAATTGTAAACATATGCCCAGGTTCAACGTAGGCACTCGTAGTGGCGAGGTGCAGGTGTTTACTGCCAACGACATCACAAGCGAGATGTCACATTGTTGACAACTATTCACCGTAACGAAATGCAAGACAGTGGTAAAGTTGATAGTGACTAATGAACGTATTCGAAAACCAGTGACAGTGATTGCTTATACACAAAACATGCGCTTGGTTGACAAATGTGACATGCAGATTGGCTTTGTTGACTGTGTTAGTAAGAGTTCTTCCGTTGGGTTTCAGGGCCACTGACAGCATACGCCGTATTCGTAAGAGTTACAAGTGGTACATGAAACTTTTCTTCCATCTCATGGACATTTCAATGCTCAATGCATATAATATGTACCAAATGAAGACTGGCAACAGACCACCATATGGTAAATTTTGTTTGTCTGTTGTCAGACAACTCATAATGAAGTACCAGGTAACAACACCTGCTATACAAAACCATCCTCAAACTCCTCGGGAAATACCCAAGCATTTGAGGAGGGAAGGTGATCACTTCATAATACAGCTTCCTGCAACTAAGAAGAAATTTACTCAAAAGAGATGTGTTGTCTGTGTACAAAACGACAGCAAATAAGACAGACACTCAGTTTATGTGCGAGGAATGTAAGGTACCTCTGTGCATGATACCTTGTTTCAAGGAGTTCCACAAGCTGCAGCAGTTCTAAAAACATGTCCAGTGACTGTACATATGCAAATATATAATAGAACATTAGTATTATACAACATTTGTGCATGTTTTTTGTAATAAACAAAAGTGGTAAACAATATTAAAAACTTTAGTGTGGTTATTGTATTCAATACAGTGTATATATATATATGTGTGTGTGTGTTGTATATATATACAGGTGTCCCTCAACATTCGCGAGGGTTAGGGGGATCAAGAGCCTCGCGAATGTTGAAAAACCGTGAATGTTTGGTGCCCCAATATATTGTAGGGAAATATAATACAATACTGCTTAACTTGTTGAACCATGATCATAAAATACATGAAAACGTCGTAAATTGTACTAAATATATACATGTCATGCTTTAATAACATGTATGTTATTAAATACCACAGACTCCACCACTGCCTCCACCACTTCGAGTCCCTACTACCCTCCCTCCGACCCCCGCAACTGGCAGCCAGCCCTCCCCCCACTCAGTGTGGTGAGTGTTTTGTTTGTTCATTATTTGCTATTAAACTACACTATAAATAATGTAAACACATTCATGACTGCATATTGGAATGGCTATTTGAACAGGTATTGGACGGTGACATCATGTGTTTAATCTTGAACACAGCAAAGACTCAAACATTTCTGCTACTGCTAATAATAACAATAATAGTAATAATAATAATAATACGATATAATTGAAGGAGGAAATTGTACAAAAATACGAGGGAGTAGTTGACACATCGTCAGTGTGGCTTTGTTTATGCTGGAGTGAACATTAGTCTCCCTGCTCTTCCAAACATTTCACAATAATTCAGCGGTTGAGGCAGTGGTATTTACTAACATATACGTATGTTATAAATAATAATAGTACATGTTAATATTAATAACATTTATAATAATAATAAATGTTATTCATAATGTACTATTATTATTTATAACATATATGTTAGTAAATATCACTGCCTCTACCACTGCCTCTACCACTCCAGTCGCACTCAATCTACAAGCACCAAACAATGAATTATTGTGAAATGTTTGGAAGAGCAGGGAGACTAATGTTCACTCCAGCATAAACAAAGCCACACTGACGATGTGTCAACCACTCCCTCGTATTTTTGTACAATTTCCTTCTTCAATTATATCGTATTATTATTATTATTATTATTATTATTATTATTATTATTACTACTGTTATTATTAGCAGTAGCAGAAATGTTTGATTCTTTGCTGTGTTCAAGAGTAAACACATGATGTCACCGTCTAATACCTGTCCAAATAGCCATTCCAATATGCAGTCATGAATGTGTTTACATTATTTATACTGTAGTTTAATAGCAAATAATGAACAAACAAAACACTCACCACACTGAGTGGTGGGAGGGCTGGCTGCCAGTTGCGGGGGTCGGAGGGAGGGTAGTAGGGACTCGCAGGTGGCGGGAAACTTGAATATGATTTGGCGGCTGGGAATTTGGTGGCTGGGAATTTGGAGGTTGGGAATTCGCGAATGTGTGAAGCCCGCGAAAGCTGAAAACGTGAATGTTGAGGGAGACCTGTATATATATATATATATATATATATATATATATATATATATATATATATATATATATATATATATATACACACACAGTATTGTTCTCAGGCCACAAAAGTTACTGAAAAAAGAAAAAAATTAGAAAAGAAAAAAGTATTAAAAACGTAAAATAAAGAAATGAGAGTTTGTGGAAATCAGTGATGTTGCCACCACCCGGTCATTTTGGGTCAACTTCTCGCCTCTGTATCTCGGTAAGTACTAATCAGAAAATTTTCTTGTTTGTTTTATTACCTTCACAAAAATATAATCTTTAAACCCTTAACTGTCGCAACCCCCAATCCTGAGGTGTCTCCTGGTGTCGCAAAATTTAAAAAAAAAAAAAAAAAAAAAAAAAAAAAAAAAAAAAAAAAAAAAAAATTCTTATGAAATGATAGAGAATCTTTTTCCCGATTGTAATGACACCAAAAAAATGAAATTTGATGGAAAACTGACGGAATTACGCT